GAAATCACAAAAAAAAAAACCAACTCCCTAAGTTTTGGGATCGAATTGGACCCTAATAGAACCAGCTGAGGCCAATATGACCAATTCTTTGCCAATTTTCTACATTTCTAACCAAATGAACCATTTCATTGTCTTAACATGTCTATTATAGGTAGTTTAACATTTATAAACCTTGAAATCACAAAAAACCAACTCCCTATGTTTTGGAGACGATTTTAACCCAAATAGAGCCAATTGAGGCCAATATGACCTATTCTTTGCCTATTTTCTACATTTCTAACCAAATGAACCATTTCATTGTCATAAAAAGTCTATTATAGGTATTAGTACATGTATAAGCCTTGAAATCACAAAAAAAATCAACTCCCTAAGTTTTGGGAACGAATTGACCCCAATAGAACCAACTGAGGCCAATATGACCTATTCTTTGCCTATTTTTTTTATTTCTAACCGAATGAACCATTTCTTTGTTGTAAATTCCAAAACCCAGAAAAAAAAAGCACATAAAAACCCCCAAAATCCCCAAAACAGTTTATTTAAAAAAAAAATAAAAAGGGGTAAACACTTACCACTATCCAACGGCGACGCATATGGTGAATTCTGATGAAGCCTTGGTGGTTGTGGTGGCTAATGGTGAATTCCGGTAAAGCCTAGGTGGTGGTGGTGGTGGTTAGGGTTTTCCGCAACATTTAAAAAAAAACCCAAAAAAACGTGACTTACCTGCACCGGCAGCGGCTGGTGGTGGATCAGGCGTTCTCCTTCTCCCTTTCTCCTTCTCTCTTTCTCTTTCTCCCTTTCTCTCTCTTCCTCTTTTTCCCTTTCTCTCTCTTCCTCTTGGTGTTATTTTTTTTCTGTCGGAAAACAACAATTAAACTCCAGGTTTTTTTTTTAATTTGTTGTAACGTTTTGACGGAATTAATTCCCTCGAAATTAACTTCTTCTGACGGAGTTTTCCGTCGGAAGGTACCTTTTCTGACGGATTTTTCCTACAACTTCAATTTCCGCCGGATATTTCAAATTTTCCGAGGGATTTGCAGTCTGTCGAAAAAAAGTCCGTCGGAATTAAGCCTATTTCTAGTAGTGTTATTATTTTTAATTACAGGGTGATTACGTTCATGCCTCAATTAAAATCAACTTTGTTCTACAATATTGTTCAAAATTGATTGAAGGAAAAGTTTACTCCATTCGATACTTTTCAGTCGTTACAAATAAGAAGCAATATCGCACGTATTGTCAGCGACAACAAAATAATTGATTCAATTTTCCAAAATACTATTGTTTGGGCGATTGGGGACGATGGAAAATTTTCAATGCATAGATTTAATTTTGTATAATTACAATTTTTAGATTAATTTCACAACAATTATTCACTTTTTGGTAAATATTTTAATTTATTTTATAAGACTATAAAGATTAATTTTATATGAATTTTATTTTTGCTAACATGTTCAATTTATCCACTTTTATTAGATGGAAGAAATATGGGTGTGAACAAAGTTGGTGATCCTATCGAATTTTTTTTTTAATACAAATTTTTCTACATCGAATTATTACATCTAATAACTATTATTTTTAATGTTCTTATTAAAATATTTATTAGGGGAATAAATTACATAAAATTAATAAAAAAATTATCCTTAACAAACAATAGCAAAGTAATCAAAAATATTATGAGTATGATCTAATTACAAAAATTATTTTTGTGAGATTTTATGTTTAAAAAACCGTGGATATTAAGATTTAAATTATTAAAAAAAATAAAAATTATCTTATGAAATTAATGGTTTTATCTAAATACCCGATAAATAAGATGTTTTTTTCATAAAAAAAAAATTTAAAACTTATAATGCAATAAAAAACTATACCTTCTTTAAACATTTTATGTCTAAAAAGTTGAAAGGACAGATAATTTGTTAGAGATCAAGAAATCACAAGAAATATACAAAATGATATATAGATTTGAGAGTTTAATTTCAGGTGTAAAAAGCAACGAATAATAATTTAGGATTTAAATTATTTTAAAAATAAAAAATTATTATCTTTTCATATTAAAGATCTTATCCTAATATGTAATCAATGAAATATTATATTTACAGTTTTTTTTTTAAAGATATCATGTTATTGTCATATAACTAACAACAACGAATAAAATACAAAACAACAATAAATTAAGTCGCATTATAAATAACATTAAAAAAATTATACTTTTGTAATTGGCAATATAACTTTAATTAAATTATTATAATTATTTTTTATTTTTTTATTTTTTTTATTTTTTGTCTGAAATTATTAAATTGTCAAATAAATCAAATAATTATTTATCCATTTATATAATTTTTTAATTTATTGGTAAATATATTGATTTATTTTATATAAATGTAAAGATTTAATTTATATTAATTTCAGTTTGGCTAACATTTCACGATTCAATTTATCCATTGATGTAGTAGGTTGGTTGTGGACGAGGTTGGTGATTCTATCGAAATAAAAGATATGGTAAAACAATTAATAATGATTGAGGATTTAAATTATTAAAAATTTATCATTTCACATTAAAGATTTTATATAACGAAAAAAATATCATATTTACAATTTATTATATTTAATAAATTCATTATAAATTATAGTAAAACAAATAAATATTAAACTTTTGTAATTTTGTGTAAAATTATTAAATACAATAAATGAGATAATTAAAAATCTTAGATGAAAAAACCGTGCATCGCACGGGCTTCCATCTAGTAATAAATAAATAAAGTAAAACACAAACAAATAAAAAAAACAAAACCTTTGCCGGATAGCAACCTTAAGGATAATCTGTACTACCTGTTACTCACTGTGAGTAACAAGTTTGTTACTCACAGTGGCAATTCAGAAAATAAGTGGAAGTTTTTCACTTACTGACTTGCTGAGCTGGATTCGTCTACGTGTCAAGTTGCAAATTTGGATTTGTCTATGACATCCTTCCGTCAATCTGTTGGAGACTTGGAGGGATGGCGTTAACTTCTTCACGTTTTGGCGGGAAAATATTCACATACCCGGAAGCTTGTTCGGAGAATTAGCGCTGTTCTTCACACATCGCCGAATTGTACAAGTCCAGTTGAAAAAACACGGAGCTTGTTCGGAGAATTAGCTCTGTTCTTCACACATCGACGAATTGTACAAGCCCAGTTGAAAAAACCACCGACATCTTCGAATTACGAGGTATTTTTCTGATCTATGTTATCGTCGCTTGTTGCAGTCTTCAGTTTTGTTCTGTAGTTGTCATGCGCCCACAATTCATGAAAATGAATTCATAATTTGGATCGAAGTCGGAATAATTTTGAAAGCAATAGGATTTTAAGGACCTTTTTGTCTGTTAAAAAGGGGGTTGAGGTTGCCGGAAATGGCCGGAGGATTTTGTTTACATTGCAACTTTTTACTTTTTGAGAACAACGTGTTGTCTTCGTATGTTTTTAAAAAAAATCCATGTGTTGATTTGTTAGTTTATGTGAAAATTGGTTGTGTTGGTTGTTCAATTGGTTGGTTGATTTGTGTCGGTTGGTTGAATTTCTGCGTTGGGTTGAATGTGTGATGTGAAACGTGTTTGGTTGATTTGTGTTGAATTTTATATTATAATTATGTTGGCGTTCTGTATTAATTTGTATCGTAGTAATTATGTTGGTGTTCTTTATTTGAAGGGTGAATTGTTGTTATTGGAGAAGATTGATATTATGCAAATGGAAACAGCAAAAAGCGTTATAAGGGGCAGTGAGGTGGTTGTTGGTGATTGTGGCAGTGGAGATAAGTTTCGGAGTAACGTCCATATGGAGGAGGGTACAAAAGACATAGATGATGCAGGTAGTTGTGCACTTGACATGGATGTTAGGTTTTTATCCCCCGTGAAAACAATTGATACGACTCACACTATGGTTGGTAGCAATGAAATAGCAGTAGCTGTTGAGGAGCCTGGTGATTGTGGCAGTGGAGTTAAGTCTCGGGGTAACGTCCATATGGAGGAGGGTATAGAAGACATAGTTGTTGCAGGTAGTTGTGCAGATGACATGACTGTGGTTGGTAACAACGAAATAGCTGTAGTTGTTGAGGAGCCTAAGGAAGGGATGGTTTTCCAATGTTGGCAACAGGTTGAAGCCTACTATAAGGACTATGCTGAGCAAACGGGGTTTGGAGTGACAAGGGCTCAAGGTGTAAATTCTAAGACGGGGGACCCAAAAAAAATCAAAGTCACGTGGAAGTGTGAGTGCTGGGGAAAACCCGACATGAGGGCTAGGCGGGAAGCGAAGAAGAGGACAAAGGCAATGAGCCATGAAGGTTCAGGTGGTTTAGTTGATGGGGTGGTATGTGCGGATGAATTAAGTGGTATGAAGAGGACTTCGAAAAAGTGCGAATGTCGGGCCCGTGTTTATGCTAAAGTTAACGAAGATGGCTTGTGGGAGTTGAAGAGCGTGGAACTAAAGCATAATCACGCGATTGATCCGGCAAATTATAAGCTTGTTAAGGAGTACCACATGAAGCAAATGACCTGCAAAGCGAAGAAGACACTAACAGATTTGTACGAGCAAGGTGTACCGGTTTCTCAAATACACGGTTTCATGGCGACCGAACGGAAGGGTAACATGGATCTAACGTTAAAAGATTTACAACATGAGGTGTACAAGGCTAGGCGGTTGAAGATGGTTGGAGGGGACTCGGTGGCAATGATGGAGTACTTTGACAAAATGTAAACCGGGAACCAAAATTTTTTCCATGCTCAACGTTTGGATGAAGAAGGGAGGCTTAAGGATGTGTTGTGGGTGGATGCAAGAAGTAGGGTAGCTTATGAGGACTTTGGTGATGCGGTTTGCTTCGACGCAACATACCTAACGAATGAGTACGAGCTCCCGTTTGCGAACTTCGTTGGTGTGAACCACCATGGGCAATCGTTGTTGTTGGGATGTGCTCTTGTTTCACATGAAGATTGCGATACGTTTGCGTGGATATTTCGACAGTGGCTAGCTTGCATGAACAATCGAGCTCCTAAAGCCATATTGACCGACCAAGCAGCAGCTATGCGGAGGCCCCTTGCTGAAGTCATGCCAAACACGGTGCATCGTTGGTGCATATGGCATATCATGAGTAAGATCCATGAGAAACTTGGCAAGTGTGCACGGTATGTTGTGAAATTCCTCCTTCTGGCTTTACAATTTCCAAGGTCTTGATATTAATAATCTGATTCCCATAATAAAGACAAGCTATCATTGTTGTGTAGTTACCAGGAGTTCGTCAACCCCCTCAAAGAGCTGGTATATGAGAGCTTTGACCCTGAGGAGTTCCAAACCCGATGGGCAGAGTTTATTGCTGAATATAAGTTGGAGGACAATGAATGGCTACAGAGCCTACACAAAGACAGTCATATGTGGGTGCCTGCGTACATGAAGGAGTTTTTTTGGGCCGGTATGAAGACCACACAAAGGGTGGAGAGCATCAATCGGTTTTTTGACGGCTATGTGAACCGCAAAACAAAACTCCATGAGTTTCCTCAAAAGTATTGCATGGCCTTGGATCAACGCGTTCGAGATGAACTGAGTGCAGATGCGCGTTGCTCGAAGTACCTTAGGAGGTTGGTTAGTGGATTCAAAGTCGAAAAAATATTCCAAAAGTTATACACGGACAACAAATTTCAAGAAGTTCAAAAGGAGTGTACGAGAATGATGTATTGCAACGTCCGAGGAGAGAAGGTTTTGTCTGAAAAGCTTATTCAGTATTCGGTGGTCGATCGTGTATGGATAGTACCTCCCGGTGCGAGTGAGGATGTCATTACAAACAGGCGAAAATCCTACAATGTTACTTTCTGTCAAATGACAAAGGAGGTGCAGTGTGACTGTAGGAAGTTTGAGACTAGTGGCATACTTTGCAAACACTGTATTACGATTTTGGATGTAAACTTAGTTGAAGATGTACCAGAGAAGTACGTTGTAGATCGTTGGAGGAAGGACATACCCCGGAAGCACACTAGGGTGAAGGTGGCCTACCATGATCCGGGAGACACGGTCAATGTGAAGAGATTCAACAAAATGATGAAAAAACTCGAGCCCTTATGTGAAACCGCTGCCATGGTGGACGATCAAACGGTCCATATGGTAATTGAAACACTATCGAAGCTTCAATTAGCTGTTAATGAGCGTAGGGACAAGAAGAGTAAGGAAAATGTTCCTGTAGTTAGTACATTGTCATCAGCCACTGAAGGCAGAACGTTTTCCTCAGTTAGGAATCCTGCTGCTGATGCTACTGCCGTAGACTCCTGTCCAGCTGCCATGGACCTTGTTATCAAAGACCCTATAATTAAGAAAAGGAAAAGGGGCAGGCCTAAGGGTTCAAGGCACAAGACGTTAGCTGAAACCGGCTACAAGAAAACCAACAAGAATAAGAAGCCTAGCCCGGTTAGGATTTATGCTTTCTTCAATACTCAAAGAATCTGACTGCTCAGCATGTTATTATTTTCTGACTGCTGTTATATCTCTATCTAAATCATACAGGAGCAAGTCGGAAATGTTGTTGAGGAGGATGCAGCAAACTGCGTTCAGGAGGAGGATGGAGTAAATGGTGTTGAGGAGGAGGATGCAGGAAATGGTGTTGTGCAGGATGCAGGTGTGTCGGAGGAGGAAATGGTGTTGCAGGATCTGGTGTTTCGGAGGAGGCAAGAAAAGGCAGGAATGGCAGGAAATGTTGTGGAGCAGGATGCAGGTGTTGAGGAGGAAATGGTGTTGCAGGATCTGGTGTTTAGGTAGACAACAAAGGGGAAGGGGAAGGCAAATACGTCTTCTCGGAAGCTACATGTAAGTATGAATCCTAAATTCATGTGATTTTACTTCAGTGATTATTTCACATTTAACCCATCACACTTGTCACAGGTGAAGCAGAAACGTCTTGATGAACTAATATAGCTTGAGCATATCTAGGCTGCTCGTTTGTTTGAGCATATGAAGACAGATTACGGGGGCATATTCTTTCCAACGATTTGTAAAACTGTTAAGCATTTGAAACATGTAATTAAACTCATCACATTTGTGTTTGAGATAATTTCAAAGGCGACAAATATATATACACACAAAGGTCCAAGGTCTTGTAATCCTTTTTAAGATGTACAGACAAAGGTCCAAGGTCTTGAGGTCAATTTCAAAAAACGATACTTTTTAAAAGACGATGCTTTGAGTATGTCTGATTTTCATGTGTTAACATGTAAACATGTAAAAATAACAGCAGTAAAAACAGAAGAAAAATAAGCATAACATAGTAACTTGCTTCCTTAAACATGACTTTAGCTAAAAATGCGTAAGCCATGTCATTATCCTAAAACATTCTCAAAACACAACATGGGATACATAGGCCCACTCCCACATCATGATGATATGAATGGCCTAAACAATAGCAAGTCATTGGAACTACCCTAAATTGGGGGCTACAAGACTTGAGAAATAGCAAGAATGTGCATACCCCGACACATGGGGGCTCCAATATTCACAAGAAACAAAATGAGATATTCATGCCATTTGAACTACTTTCGAGAATCTTCTAAACTATAAATAGTTTAAGTAGATCTCAAGCCTTATAATTTTCAAATACATCGCAACGATTTAATAATCATTATGTTCATTTGAAAACTAAGTTTGCAACTGAATTTGGCCATAGATTAAACTACAACTACAAACATATCACATATTCAAGCCATTTTCAAGTTCAACTTCAAAAACTAATCTTAGTACATAATTGTTGTTTCAATATTTCAATTTAGTCTAGGGATTAGAGAGTATGACTAGTATCAAAATAATGGAGAATTAAACGCATACGACATGCTTGCTCATTCATCATGAAAATGGTATCAAAATACTTCATTAACATAAGACAAACAATTTCATGAGCTACAACATGAATCGAAAACTCCCGAGTTCAAAACTAAGGGGTCTTCATTCAAAATTCCCCATTCCTGCACAAGTGACAAATTTTAAAACAATAGAATTTTGCAAAGGGGACAATAACTACTTTCTCAAACTTCAATCGGTAAAAAATTTGGGTTCAAGAGAAAGAGCTTGAAAGTAGCAAGAAGAGAAGGAATAATTACATCACATTTCCTTTGTTAAAACTATAAATGGTCGAAAACGATTTAAACACACTCGTATTTGAGAATACTATCGAGTGCAGAGAACACAAACTGATCATGTTCAAACAGCAGAAACCATATTCCTACAAAGACAATAGAATGTAAATGACAATGTTCAAATTGTTTGTCAGGTCCCACATCACAGTCGTTGCGCTGTTTTCCTAGTCCCTGGAATGGCATCTCCCAGACAGTCTTTCAATTCGTTCACTTCACACTGCACGTCGTCTAAGAACAGATTTGCCCGAGCAATAGGAATCTTCCGCTATAAGAACAGAACAGAACAAACACTTTAGCCAACCATTCTAGAGATCTTCACACAAAACACAGATATATACACCACGTACCACACTGAACCTCGTGGTGAATCTTCTAGCAAAGAACTTAATACACGCCAACATAAGAACACCGCAGTATGAGCTGCATATTAGAGGACAACAATCAACATGAAAGCTGGAGATACGTTCTCCTAACCTTAAAGGTAGGAAGATAGTCATTGGCACAATAAACAAACCAGGGAACACAAGTTCTTACTTATCCTTTGGGTCTAAAATCTCAACAGTGCATTTGGTCCAAGACTGTAGGTGACCAACCTTCCATGCTGGGTCACAGAGGTGGAAAAGGACGTCCAAGCCACTAAGCTGTAGTTTAACAAACACATTACACACTACTAAATGGTCCCAATAAATACCATGTTTGTTTAGAATGAAAGTCATCATTAGTACCAGAAGATCAATCTCCCTAGCATGTGTGTCGAACGGGGCAGGGTACATGGAATCTATCAGCCACAACCGTTGAGCCTTCATGTCTAAAGCTAAGCACCACCAGTGCGAATCTCCAGGGGAATCCTGAGGAACTTCGAGGACTGGGACAAAAACCTGTTTAAATGCCAATGTCAGTGCCGTAAGCACAATTTTAGCGCATATGCATGGAAAACACATTTAAACCTGCGCTAATAGTAAGTTGCTGACCGCTCGAATATCCGACAGGTTAGAGCTGATGAGAGATTTGGCATACTTCGTACAAATATTCTCTTCTTTGCCTTCGTTCAACAACAGTCGATTCTACGATCCAGACAATAAAAACAAGAAGCATGATAATCATCGAATGTGAACGTAAATATGTCACCCCAATGGTAAAATGAACCCCGAACGACTTACCGAAAAGCTTGGGTCAAGCAAAAAACGCTTGCTTCTGTTCAGAAAATCTTTGGTGGCCCATTGCTTGGTGTATAGCACACTGGCCATTCTAACGTAGTCAGTGGAAACCCAAGATTTATTGTGCACCACTTCATAGCAATCCCTCTGGCTGGCTTCCATGTGATCACACTTTATCATCACCATACCACAGCTATGTGGTGAACCGTCATCATAACACCAAGTATACACATAAAAATATTAGAATTTACAATTAATACAAAAACTTTGCAAAAGGCATGCACAATAAACAGACTTTTCACACTCAAATACACTTTTTTGAATTACCTAAGTGGATCCTTCAGGTCCTTCCACTGATTAACAAACTGTAGCAGACGCGTCTCCAACGCTGTATGGCGACGGGTGTTTAACACATTGGTGAACATGGCTGACAAGGCTGCCTCGGTAGGTTTCACCACACTCCTATCAGCAGACTCATCTTCCTCATCAGATGAAGATGACCTTTGCAATATGCACCGAGCATCAACCAAGACAGTCGTTCCCCTCGTCCCAAGCGAGCATACAACAGTTTCAGGTCCAGTGTCCACGTTCACATCTTCCTCTTCATGATCAGAATAACAGACATTTAAGTCTGGGGGAGGACCGCTATCAGCCCCAGTCACCTTGGATTCATCCCCTAACACGTTGGACACAGCCTGTTGTTCATGCGCAACACCAGCCTTCTCCGTTCGCCTATCCCTCTCGATTGCCTGCCCCCTACTCGCCCCCAAGGCATTAGCGACGTCAACACAATGCGACATCAGCTTATGCATTTCTTTCATAACATAAGCTATTTTATGATCTACCAGAGCCACCATGGCAGGAGTTATTTTATCCAACACCTTAAACAAAGCATGAGCACAAACTATTAACAGCTGCCATATATAGCACATGTCACTTATTTTTATACATTACAGAGCTACGTATGAAAATATTGTTGACTTGGATTATACTTGCTGCGTAATATTCTCTGCGTCTACCTCCCGCGTAGTCCCTATTTTATGATCTACCAGAGCTACCATGGCGGGATTTATTTTATCCAACACCTTCAACAAAGCATGAGCACAAACTATTAACAGCTGCCATAGCACATGTCACTTATTTTTATACATTACAGAGCTACGTATGAAAATATCGTTGACTTGGATTATACCTGCTGCGTAATAGTCTCTGCGTCTACCTCCCGCGTAGTCCGTTGCACCTCTATGCTTTCCACCCTTTGCTTTTGACCCTCCCGAGGACTCAACGGATGCGGCTCCCCATACGCTACATCCAACGACTGAAATTGAAGCAAACACAACAGGTTCAGCAGGGATGTATTCCCATCAAAAGTAAGTCAAACTGAAACTAACCCGCAATTTCCCAAAATCCCCAGATTGTTTTTTTGTCATCGCCAACCGCCTCATTGATCTTTTCTTGGCACCATGCCTCCAGTCTTGGTCTCACACCCCACCTCATTGGTACGCGACTGAGGTGATCTACATAAAAAATCTACAAAGAGGGAGACGGTAGAAAATTAGATAACATTACTAAAAAAATTATTTGATGTAGTGGCAATACCAACAATTTACTCACCAACAAAAAAAGGATACAACCCCCACAACCTGCTACATATCCATCACGAGCAAATTTCCTTTGGAAACTCCTCGCTGATGCAACCATCCACTTAAATACATAAGTGCACCAGTCATACTCATTGGCTTCATCGTAAACCAACAACGACGGTACAAGATTCACTCCAAGGTAGCTTGTGTTTGCCGTAGCACACAGTATGCAGCCAAGAGCCGCTATGAGAAAGGTTATCTTGAAATCAGCCTTCTCCTCATCCGACAACGGCAACACATTACCTTCCCCATCCTGTCTAATCAGTGCCTCCAAAGCAGATACTAATGAAATGTGTTCCTTCTTTCCAAACTTCTCCAAGATTCGGCTATGCTCTGCCTGCTTGTCCTCAGGAATCTTACACGGCAATTCCTGCGACCCCATGGGAATCCCAAGTACGTACTCAACCTGCACAGGGCTCAAAGGAAGCACAAACTCATCTCCAAAAGTTATGGAACCATCTGCCATCACCCTTGTCAACAGCCAGTACACAAACTTCCGGGGTACATAAGTGAGGGGAATACTTAATAACCCTCCAAAACCCATTTCTGTGACCACCTTCTTCCTAGAGTCATCAAACTTGTTCACTGCAGTTGCAAAAGCTTTCACACCATGCATATTTGGGGCCTACAACAATACATTCAAACAAGTCAAATGACCGATTAAATTTCTTTTAAGTTACTGAAAATTCTTCAATTCCTTTTGTAGGTAGCCTCAATTTTTAACACTTCGAACCACATTACAACCAAAATTACATAAAAACTGATTAAAATCCCATTAAAAGTACTTGCGAAGTTGCGATTATCGTCGTCCAGCGAAATTTAACCCTACTTACGGAGTCACATTAGTCATACTTAACTTGCAACTCAACTACAGTTTACAATTCATCTTTACTAATCAAGTTTAATTACCAAACAACCCCCTTCACTAACCAAATGCCCAACCACAGAACTCAGCAGACAATTTCGTTTCATGGATTTTATCAAATATA